GTTCATATAGAGAGGTTATATATGTTTAACAGATAGCATATATAAATATTTACCACATAATTCCATATGCACACACACACCTTCAGAAAAGCAAATCTTCATCTATTTGTGACCATAATTTTATATCTGCCCCACATATGACATGGAAAAGAAATTAATTCAATCCACAGAGAAACAACCTGTCTTGCAATTAAAATTAGTGTTTTAGTAAATACATTTACATTACAGTGACTACACTAGTCATAGGCTAAGGGTAAAAGAAAAACAAGCATAAAATATAACTATTCATTTGAAGGTGCCAACAATCTAAATACAAGCAACACATAATAAGATTCAAAATACTTAAATTTTAAAAAAAGTTATGTATCCTAATATTTTTAAGAAGAAAGTAATGTAGGCTTGAGAAGAATAAATTTTAGACTTTTTCTGAATTTCACCAAAAATTGTTTTAATGGTAATTGAACAGTGTGGTGGACACTTTGTAGTATTTATATACCAAGGTCAAATTATTATGTTGTATACCTGAAATGAAAATAATGTTATATATCAATTTTACCTCAATAAGAAATTAAAAATGGTTTTAGATATTGGCATGCACATAAATGAGGGGGAAAAAGAGTACTTCAGGTATAGAGCAGATACTTGGTGCTTTGTGGATGGCATGAAAACATGGTGAGGAAGATGAGTTCAAAGGGAAATCAATCCGTATCCAAGGCTTCCTAGACAGAAGGCTCAAGCTGGGAATAACGGTGGGTACTGTGGACTAGAGAGTGAAGGCATTCTGAGCTGAGCCATCATAAAATCTTTTTCCTGCAAGAAGCTTTTATACAATAAAATAACAACATTCCTAAACGTACAGCAACTAAATCTTCTTCTCTGGTCTTGCTAACATTGATGTGTTCTAAATGGAAATATTTTTTAAATGTTAGCATATGAACATAAGGAAGGGTTAACAGAGTCAGGTTTCTGTGAGGTTTCTCCCATCACACATCTCATAGTTGCTATAGCAATGTTTTCACAAGCAGAGCCATAACAAGAGAAAAACTGGCATGTTTGGGAAACTGACCAGAATTGTTCCAACTTGAGACCGAAATAAAGGAAGCAGCATGCACTCTGTATCTGGAATGTCTGAGTTCAAATTCTATTAATATGTATTTTGCCAACTGAATTAACTAAGACCTCCACATTCTCGTAAAAACAAGGCATATAAGGCTGAAAGAATTGAATAATGTCATTGACAAAGCCTTTAGAGTGGTGGCTGACACAAAATTATTATACTTCAGCCATTATTATAAGAATAAATTTCACGAATAACACTTGACTAATAAGTAAATTCCCAATTTATCCTAATAACCAAATAATTAGGATCTTTTTCTAACTGTGCATACATCATGCTTAATGATAATCATCCTCAGGATCTAATTCTATGAAGAACTATGCCAATTATACCTTAAGTCCCACCACTAAGACCTATATAATAAATTAGATTAAGTTTTGAAGTATACACTTTCTGGGTTGGGGGGCGGGGGGAGGGACCTAACGCCTTCAATGCATACTTTATGAAATGAAGTGCATTTTCAGGCCACACACTTACAATAAGTAAGTGAAGCAGAAGCAATACAAGCAATGAGGAAGGTCAAGGGCTGTGACCAAATGAAACAAACTCCTCTAACAAAAGAGGCTTTGGCAACACAAAGAATGTTACTAGGCTGAATTTGGCTATCAGAGCATCAGTGTGCAAACCCATTAGTGCAAAACTTTATCTCAAGAAGGAAGAACTTCTCTAGTGTTCTATTCATTATCCATTGTTGCAGGAAACAGGTTATCTAAATTTATATCATATGTCTCACTCATTTGTGGAATATAATGAACAACATAAACTGATGAACAAAAGCAGATTCAGAGACAGAGAAGTGTCAATCAGACCATCAAACCTCAGAGGGAAGGTAGGGGATGGTGGGATGTTGACTGGCATGGAAACCGACCAATCAGAGCCTAATCTGGGTGAATTGCTAAGGCAGTACCTAAGGTAGGGGCTGAGAAGGGGTTTTAAGGGGAACAGCTGTTTGGTGTAAGGAATAAGAAAGGGGTGCAATTTTTTATTCACCAGTTGGCAGTATGGTTGATATGGCTGGCTATCAGTCCAGATATAGGAATTATGTATTTTTGTCTGCCATGAGCATCTCCTCCTGCTGAAAAAGGCTTGCTTCTCCCAGCCACCCATTTAAGTAATACTATCCGATCTAATCTATCTATATTAATAAAAGGTAATATGCTAATTAGATGGGGTTGACAGACCATCTTCTGGACCTCTGACTTCCTTCCGGACAAAGCCGTGGGGGTGAGGGCTAAGGCAGAGGCAGTTAGGGAAGATCGGGCTGGCAGGGGAGGGCAGTTGGGGACAATATCAGGCTGGCAGGGGAGGGCAGTTGGGTCTGAGATCAGGCTGGCAAGGGAGGGAAGTTGGGGGCAAGGTCAGGCCTGCAGGGAAGGACAATTGGGGGCAAGATCAGGCCAGAAGGGATGGGCAGTTGGGGTAAAGGTCAGGCTGACAGGGGAGGGCAGTTAGGGGTGATCAGGCAGGCAGGAAGAAGCAGTTAGGGGTGATCAGGCAGGCAGGAAGAGGCAGTTAGGGGTGATCAGGCAGGCAGGAAGAGTCAGTTAGGGGTGATCAGGCAGGCAGGAAGAGGCAGTTAGGGATGATCAGGCATGCAGGCAGAGAGGTTAGGGGTGATCAGGCAGGCAAGCAGGCAGGCAGAGTCAGTTAGAGGTGATCAGGCATACAGGCAGAGGCAGTTAGGGGCAATCAGGCAGGCAGGCAGGCAGGTGAGCAGTTAGGAGCCAGTTGTCCCAGATTGAGAGAGGGGTGTAAGATTGGAGAGGGTGCAGGTTGGGTTGAGGGACCCTTTCCTCCCTGCTATGCATGAATTTCATGCCCTAAACCATTGGTAATCAATGAATAAAATAATTAAAACTATCAAAGAAAAGAAAGGAGGAATGCATTGAGTTTTATAATATTCTTTCATAATAAATTAAAACAATGTTGGTATAAGGAAAAAAAAAAATCGATTTCTTCCCTAACATTTATTTCCTCTGCTTTAGGAAAATAAAACATGGGAAAAGCTCTTTTAGCAGTTTATCTTTGCAAATCTGACCATGATAAAGAAGGAATGTCCCAATAAATCCTAAAACTTTTATTTCTATATTATTCACCCACCAGAGATACTGAAAATGTAAATGCAAAAATAAAGATTTTAGAAACATTCTTTGCTGAACTTCGCCAGTCATCAATCCATGATGAAATGCACCATTTCGATAAACCCCACTAGAGATGACCTCATTAATACACTGCATTTACAAACAATGCATGAACTTTGAGTCAATAAACTGATGACTAAAATATGCTAGAATATCTAGTTGGTATAGAAAAAGAGTGAAAGTAATCCAAAAGTTTATTAATAAGGGACTAATTGAGTATACTAGGAAACATTGAAGTGATAGAGATGAAATATTTTGTTTTGTTTTGTTTTGTTTTTGAAGCTGTAAAAAAGAACTAAGAAACATCTCTGGTGATTGTTATGTAGAACCTTTATGGTATGTAAGTGAAAAACACCACCTTGGAGGAATATGTGTTTAGTGAGTTAAAATAAGCTACAACTTATTTAAGAAAATGTAGAGTTGCTAAAACTGGTTTGGTTCAGTGGATAAGGCCTCAGCCTGTGGACTGAAAAGTCCCAGGTTTGATTCCAGTCAAGGGCATTACCAGTAGGGGGTCTGCAGGAGGCAGCTGATCAGTGTTTCTCTCTTATCGATGTTTCTAACTCTATTCCTCTCCCTTTCTCTCTGTAAAAAAATCAATAAAATATATTTTTTTAAAAAGAAAGTGTAGAGTTATAAAAAAACATTTTTTTCAAAAAGTTACTTATGAAGATGGAAACAAATAAGTACAGGTGTAGGGAGATAGGTATGTAAAATGAGACTTCTTTATAATTGTAACTTATAATGTGAATTTAAAATTAGATCCTACAAATGTCCACAGATTTTATTTTCATATATATGAAATAAGTATACACAAATAGGTTTATGCATAAAATATTTAACACTAAATAAAAATAAAGCAAATGAACTTAATAGTGTACAGAGTTGTTAGACAAATCACACAGAGGAAATTCTAATAAAATGTTGAGATATTTAAAGTTCAAAAAACTTCTGATTTTCAGTAATTATATCATTAGTACTGGTAATAAATTTGCATTACAAAAACAAATATTATTGATGGTATATTTCTAATGATATTAATGTTATTAGAAACAAAGATTTTCAAATAGAGGAAAATAAATACAATTGAATAAAAATCAAAGGAATTAAGCCAAAGGTCTGTAAATGTAAGTTTGAACTGAAAATATCTAACTCACAATACATTCCCCTTTAAAAATATATAGACTTCTTATTGTTGTCCACTCCAAAGGTTAGAAATCATAAATCTACCAGCAAAGATCATCTCTGCTGCCAGGGTTGCGGTCTCTAAATACCACGGTCCATTAAAAGGAGCCAGGGCTTCTTGGAGGAAAAGGCTGACACACCAAGCTCCATAGCAAGAATCTACAACATGTACTTGATTCAGTTTTTATTCTTATTTTACTTATGTATTTTTGTTTTTGTTAATCCTCACCCAAGGATATTTGTCCATTGATTTTTAGGGAGAGTAGAAGAGAAAGGGAAAGACAGAGAGAAACATCAATGTGAAGAGAAACACATGGATTGGTTGCCTCCTGCAGGAGCCTTGGCCAAGGCCCAGGCCAGGGAGGAGCCCACAACCAAGGTACGTGCCCTTGACCAGAATAAAATCCCAGATCTTTTTAGTCTGCAGGATGACGTTCTAGCCAATGAGCCAAATCAACTAAGGTGGGACTGCTTTTAAACCTGATGTTATGAAGGACTGTTTTTATGGCCTAGAGGCTTTTGATATAATTGGAGGAGTTCTGACAGGCCAGAGTTAGAGTATATTTATATGATGTATTATGGAACTGTAGACTTGAAACCTATATAATTCTATTAACTAATGTTACCCCAATAAGTTCAAGAAAAACACATATTTTTAAAAGAATATTTGGAGTATCATGAAAGACATAGCTACAATGGATTTAAATATGTCTATCTACAAGAGAAAGATGCAAATTGACCATACTTCCACTATGCCCATAAGCCACCCCCACCAGCCAATCAAGAGCAAGTATACAAATTAACACAACCAAGATGGCTGTGCCACAGAGTGAGCAAAAGGCTTGGATTTCCCTGGCAATGGAGGAAGCCAAGTTTCTGCCTGCTCTGGCCAACCCTAGCCTCTGCTCAAGGCTACAAAGTTTCAATTATAGAAGATAAATAAATCCCAAATACCAGGGCCTTCTCTTAGATCTCCATGGGGTGTGACCAGCCTGCAAACCACTACAGGCTCCTTGCCTAGGCTGCCCTATGTCCCAAGGGAACCCATACCCTGATCCGGGACACCCTTCAGGGCAAACCAGCTGCCCCCACCCATGCACCATGCCTCTCTCCTATCTAATAAAAGAGTAATATGCAAATTGACCATCATTCCAACACACAAAATGGCTGCCCCCAGGTGGTCAAAGATGGCTGCCCTCAAGGAGACACAAGATGGCCACAAAATGGCCAGCAGGGGAGGGCAGTTGGGAGGGACCAGGCTTGCAAGGGAGGGCAGTTGGGGGTGATCAGGCCAGCAGGGGAGGGCAGTTGGGAAGAACCAGGCCTGCAAAGGAGGGCAGTTGGAATTGATCAAGCCTGCAAAGAGGGCAGTTAGGGGTGACCAGGCTGGGAGGGGAGCAGTTAGGCATCAATCAGGCTGGCAGGAGAGCAGTTAGGCATCAATGAGGCTGGCAGGGGAGTGGTTAGGGGGTGATCAGGCTGGCAGGCAGAAGCAATTAGGGGCAATCAGGAAGGCAGGTAGGCGAGCAGTTGGGAGCCAGCAGTCCTGGATTGTGAGAGATGTCTGACTGCCTGTTTAGTCTCAATCCTACCAAGATTGGGCCTAAATGGGCAGTGGGACATCCCTTGAGTGGTCCCAGATTGGAGAGAGTGCAGGCTGGCCTGAGGGATACACACCCTTGTGCACAAATTTTGTGTACCCGGATTCTAGTTTATATATAAAAATCTATGAAATTATAATGATACTTTTAAATATTAATATATCAATGTACTTCCAAATATTAATATATCAATGTATTATTTTAAAACTGGTAAAATTGATAAATGACAAAAATCAACATTAAATTGTCCTCTCTGCTTTTGAAAGTTTTCTTAGTAAAAAGTTAAAGCAATTTTTGGCTTTAAAAAATATCTCATCGGCTGACTGGTATGGCTCAATGGTTGAGCTTAGACTTATGAACCAAGAGATTGCTAGTTTGGTTCCAGGTTAGAATGCATGCCTGGGTTGCGGGCTCTCTTCTCAGTAGGAGGTGTGCAGGAGGCAGTCAATCAATTATTTTCTCTCATCATTGATGTTTCTATCTCTCCCTTTCCCTGTCTCTCTGAAATCAATAAAAATATTTTAATATTATTATAAATTGTAATAGGTGACCCACCAAACTATATTTTGCTCAAAAGCTACAACATCTGATTCTGATACTTCTTTAGGAAATAGATACTCAGAAATATGAAAAATAAAGACATATAAAAAATTTAATAGAAAATACCTAGCAACATGCCTAAACATCATCATGTTATTAAAGAAAGCAGTGTTACAGTAAACTTTTTTGAAAAGCTTGAGGAAATGTTAATATCCTTTTTTCTCAGAGATACCTAAGATACATGGAAAGTACCTGTGGCCCATTTGTATTAAAATCCGTTTGAACCAGAACCAGTTTGGCTCAGTGGATAGAGCGTCAGCCTGTGGATTGAAGGGTCCCAGGTTTGATTCCGGTCACTGGCATGTACCTTGGTTGCATCCCCAGTTGGGGTGTGCAGGAGGAAGCTGGTCAATGTTTCTCTCTCATTGATGTTTCTGACTTTCTGTTCCTCTCTGTAAAAAAATCAATAAAATATATTTTAAAAAATCCAATTGATCTACTGAGTTGCATCTTTAGAAATCATGGCATAATTTTATCATGCAGATAGCTTATTTTACTAGCTGAAGGAAAAGTCTGTCAATATAATACTACTTCCCTTAGTCTTTTTTATCCTTGGATAAATGTCATCAAATGGGTATAGAGGTTGCCATGCCATGGCCTGGAAAATAAATGCAGTTCCCATACAAATTAAACTATCCACTCTCCTGCATAGTTTAATTTGTATGTGTGTCCTGTTACTGCACAGTGAGTAAAATAATTCCTAGTGTAGAGACGTTTGTTCTAATGCATTATGTAGGTTCACCTCTACATCAGTGATGGGCACACAGTAGAGTATCGCCTGAGAATTCCCTTCCCCAGACCAAGATCTATGATCACTGTTTAGAAAGAGAGGCTTGAAGAGTGACCATTAGGAGTTGCTTTACTTCTTCTACTTCTGGTGAATTGGAAAGTTTTTATATATTTTATATAACTATTTTATATAACTATATTTCAAACCTGCTGCATTCTGAGCTAATATGTGTTGGAAAATGGAAATAGAGGGTAAAGTATACGAGATAGCTCCATTTCAGTTTGAGAGTGTGCGGCCTCTCCTTTGCTGCCTTTTGATTTGTTATGTGAACATCTTGTGCCTTTGACATGTATAAAGTGACCTCTTTTTCCCTTTCTTCCACATACACACACCCAGTGCAGGCAGTTAAACAGTCATACATGCAATGAACATAGTATTTCATGGTTAATGTACCATTCTTTATGAGAATATGCTAGCATAATGATAGAGGGCTGAAGCATGTAATCTATAATTATTATAATACAAAGTGAACTGTCATGTAGGGGAAAATGGGGCTTTCCACAGACATATAAGTGCAGTCATGGAAACGGAGATAGCTCCTTGATTGTAATTATTCAACCTCACGAGGGGTCTGCAGCTAGCTATTAGAGTGCTAGTGGTCCCTCATGGAGCAGTCTCCTATCCAATTAAACTTCCACAGTCTATTCAGGAGGCACACTTCAGGTTGTCAAGACATTGTGGGAACACCACTGTGTTCCATTAAAGAGTGTCAAGCACCTGCATTTCTAATAGAACGTAATGCTTTGGTTACCTTTGCATATAGAATCTGATAAGAGAATTTTCTTTGTCTCACTTGAATCTCCAGACAGATAAAACATTTGTCATTGGCAAAGAGAAAGGTCTTCAGTTTCTGAGTCCTGACAGGACTGTAGTAATTTAACATTTTCTCTCTTGTACAAAAGGAAAGCATATGCAGAAGTCAGTGAGAAACAAAGAAAAGTTAAATGTTGGGATGATTGGAAAAATAAATTCAGTGTAAGTTAAATCAGTAAACAAAGTATTTCACTGGATATTTAAATGTTTGTCTAGGCATATTTGATATAAATTTTGAAAGCTTGGAAAAATGTACAATGAAAATGCCCAAACATTCTATGATTTCATGAGCTAAGGACTTTAATTAAAACTACTGCAATTTTTACTGAAAATTTCAAAATAAAAAGGGGCTGAATTTTGAGAAAAGAAATGACTTTAAGAAAATCAGTAGATGCAGCATGATATATTAGACATATGTTTTGATTGAAAAGTACATATTTATACTTATATTCAATGATAATGATAAGGTACAATACTTCTTGTACATTACTTAAAATCTCAGCCTTACCTCTTACTCTAAATTGTTGTTTCTAGTCACTAGTTTTGAGCAGGTTTTAACCAGCTCTGACAGATAAACCAAATTTGTTACACCTCTGCCTGAGCCTTCTACTTTGTTAGGATACATCATAATTTTTCTATGATACATCAGTAGGGAAATATTTGGCATTTGTGATATGCATCACAAAGAAGTTAAATTCTTGGGGTCACATTTGACCAACAAGGAATAAAAGCCTTAAGTACACAGTTAAAATAAAAAATTAGTCATCTGTAGCGGTGGCCAACTGGGTAACATTGATTTGCTTGTTTTCCCGCCCTTCTATTGTTTGCTCCCCAATCCTCACTCTGCCTCCCTGGGAGATAGTAAGGATATCTCTCTCTCTGGCTTTTCTTTTGAGGAAACTAGGTAAAGACAATATGGTTCCCAGTATACTATTTACTAATTCTATAACCCTATATAAATAGCTTAACTTCTCTATATCACAATTTTCTGTTAACCAAGATGCCTAGGCAAAAAGAGTCTTTAAAAATCTAAAACCATAACTTTATGAAAAAGCAGTAGCCAAACTTCAAAATATGTCTCTAGGGAAGGAAGAAGGACATATCTTCCTATCTTTTGCTGCATCTAAAATTGTGCTTTTGTTTTAGTTTGTTCCAGTTCGCCTTGGTTTTGTACTACAATGTACATAGCTAACCTGTTACTAATACGGCTATTCAGAGGTGCATGCAGATTATGTGAGGTTACCAGTAATGCACAGATAATTATATTTGCTCTCTGGAGTCTGCAACAATCTCAAAACTGCACTACCCTTCAGCCCCGGTGTGGATAGCAGTACTGAGACAGCCATCATTTCCTCCATACCATTGCTATGGCCATTAGGAGACTTGTGCTCCCAAAATAACCATATAGGATATAGAGAATGTATGAAGAGTGAAGAATGATCAGCTGAAATATAACACTAGTCAAGACAAGGAAGAACCTTGGTAGAGAAAATCTATAATAATAAAAGCATAATATGCAGATAGGCCAAAGGGCCAAACAGTGCAACAGCCATTCAAATGACCTTCAAGAGGACCTTCTGGATGAAGCTGGGACTGCAAGGGCCTAGCCTTGCATGAATTTCTTGCATGGGGCCTCTAGTAGAAAATAGTTGTTTATTTGCTTTAATGTAATGCATTGGTCCAGGTCAGAAAATCAGGCAATATATAGATGCTAGGAACTGTGGAAAAGGTAATACCATTGCACTTTTATTTTACTTCTTAAAGACAAAAATAAGTTCAAAACAAAATTAACAAAGACATTATATTCATAAACTTGTAGTAAAGATATCTTTCAGCCATCACTTTCATTTCAGCAAGGGGCCAAAGATGCTAGAAAGGAGGATCCATTCCACAGAGTAAAAAGGAAAACTCAGTCTCTGGCACATATTCTATTAAGGAGGGAGTTTTTATTGTTGGAAGTAGGGAAGACTTGCTAATTGGTCTTCAAGTATATCAGTTGCTCTTTGGTTGGTTATAATGGGACAATCAAGTGATTTGGGGACATATTTTATAAAGAAAGAATTATTCAATATTGGGGTAGAGGGTTTTCTGTGGTCAGTAATTCCTGGAAAAAATGGGGACCAATTTTCATAGACAAATTATCCCTGAGTGGAGAGGAATGGCTACCATGGCAGGCAGTTTGCCAAATTTTACTAGCCATTAAAAAAAAAAAAAAGAATAAAACAAACAAAAACAAACAAACAAAGAAAAAAACAACCCCAAGTTTTAAATATTTCTGATGGCATAAGAAAATCTTAATTTATAATATTAAAAGTGTAATATGCTAATTAGACCAGACAGCTGGACAATCTCCCAGATGTCCTTCCGGACATCCTTCTGGATATCCTTCCAGATGAAGCCAGGGTTGCAAGGGCTGAGGCAAGCTGCTGTGGCTGTGAGGGCCTATCCCTTTGCACAAATTTTGTGAATTGGGACTCTAGTATAATAATATAATAAAATCATAGTTATATAGATGGATATTGCATATGATATGTTATATATGTTATATACATGGTGGTAACATAATCCTATCTAATAAAAGAGTAATATGCAGATTGACCATCACTCCAACACACAAGACAGCTGCCCCCATGTGGCCAAAGATCTTGTCCCTATGTGACACAAGATGTCCAGCAGGGGAGGGCAGTTGGGAGGCACCAGGCCTGCAAGGGAGGGCAGTTGGAGGTGATCAACCCTGCAGGGGAGGGCAGTTAGGGTTGACCAGGTGTGCAGGGGAGGAAAGTTGGGGGCAAACAGGCTGGCAGGGGAGCAGTTAGGCATCAATCAGGCTGACAGGACAGTGGTTAGGGGTTGATCAGGCTGGCAGGCAGAAGTGGTTAAGGGCAATCAGAAAGGCAGGCAGGTGAGCAGTTGGGAGCTAGCAGTCCTGGATTGTGAGAGGGATGTCCAATCGTGAGAGGCAGTTGGACATCCCTCAAAGGATCTCAGATTGGAGAGGGTGCAGGCTGGGCTGAGGGACACACATCTCCCCCCCACCCCCACCCCCGTGCAAGAATTTTGTGCACCGGGCCTCTAGTCCTATATAATAAAAGCCTAGATGCAAATTGTGCCCTTGGTTGTTCAACTGGGAATTCAACCTGGAGCTTGACTGCTCACTATTATGTGTACTGACCACCAGGGGGCAGCCCGGAATATGGAGGGCATTGGCAACCTGCTGCAACCTCTCCCCTGGCTATCTGGAGGCGGGGGTAAAGGGGACATAAGTGCAGTGAGAATGTGTGGTGTCTGACAAGCTCGCTCTCACTCTTCCTGCTACCCTGCCTCAGGGTGCCAGGGAAGCCCTGTGCGCAAGTACCAGGTGCCCATAAGGAGCCCACTCACATCCACTCGGCTTTTTCTGGGGCCATGCAAGGCTGACCAAGAGAGAGCATGCCACCTGCCCAGTTTCTATGTGATGCCACTGGGTGGCCCAGAGGCCCACACTACACCCTGGCCTGCGGTGTCCAGCCACACTCACTGAATCTCCATGAGGGAGCTTGGGCCCCATGACTCAGGTGGAGGGAGGAACATGGGAGCTGTGGGGCCCAGGTGCTGCCCAGGGCCTGGAGGTCAGTTGGGACCTGCCCTTTCATGCCAGGCACTCATTCTTTGATTGCCAGTCAGGCTTAGGGACTACTCCCATGCACGAATTTCATGAACTAGGCCTCTAGTAGATATATATAGATAGATAGATCCCAGACATTTAACCTCTTAAAGCTTTAGTTTTCTCACTTATAAAATATGCTAACATTCATTTCATAGAATTATTTTAAGTTTTTATTTGATAAAACCAAAAAGTGCTTATCATATGCTGCATAATATTTATGTACATCTGATATATCCAAAAGTGTGTTTAATGTTATACAAAAACTATCACAGTAATTCTGGGGTGATGAAATCATCTCTGTTTGCCCCAAATTTTCTCAGTTTTAAAACTGAAAGTCCCACATCACAAGAACTTCCTTAATAGTGGGCAGGCCAAGACTGCTGATCCCTTAAGAAGTAGGTCATGAAGGCAAAATTTAATTTTAGCTCAGACTCTAAAAATAAATAACCCCCTCCTAATAAACATAACTTTAAAACCATAATCATGATTACTGTGATATTATAATGAAGATTTCCCAAAGCATTTCCATCCCTGAAAGAACACTATTGCCAAGTGACAGGACTTGTAGGTTAGAGTCAGAGCCTAACCTTTTGCTGCCTTTTTTTGGTTGGCAACCAAAACTAACTCTTTGGTATCAGAATAAAAGGTGCTAATGTAGGCAGATGTATTGAAATTGAGTGCGGATTACAAATGGATACTGAATACAAGTTGAACAACCATAACACCATTCTCTAATATACTGAGGATGTACATTATTAATTTCTTATGAGGGTATACTAGAACTAATTCTAGACTTCCACAATTTTTACACATTGTGTGTGTGTGTGTGTGTGTGTGTGTGTGTGTGTATATATATATATATATATATATATATATATATATATATATTGAATGCATATACAATACATACTATGTGTGTATAATAAAATGGTCTCTATGTTTTGAGGGGTTTTTTTTAGCCTCAACAAATTATTTCCATGTTTTGCTATTTATGTATGCTCAATATAGAACTGACAATTGGTACAGAAAAAAAAATTCAATTGAAAAAAATAAATTGACTTTAGAAATAAATTCTCTACTTAACAAATCCCTTTAGGTACATGGTTTGTACCTATATAATCCTTTAGTTCAGAGCAGGAAGAAACCGTTTCTATTATAGGTCATTTTTGTTCTGTAGACTATACATTACTATACTGTAAACACTCATGATGTATTGTACTGATAACTGAAATGATCAATGGATTATTAGCACTGGGATTTTAGGATTATAACCCTATTATTCATGGTAATAATAATTGTGAATGTTACCTGAGTGTTTACCATGGGCTAAGGTACTTGATATATTATTTTCATTAATTTATCTCATATAATCCCAAACCAAACCTATAAGGCAGTATTTCATTGCTTATATTTTCAGAAGAGAACAATTAGTCTCAGAAAGATAAAGTCATTTCCTGAGTCAGAATCAAACTGTGATTTTTAAAAAATCTGTCTTATTCTGATATTAAATAGAATTCCTAAATAGTTAGAAAACGATTGAAATAAATGTTTAGAAAAGAATATTAAATTTATGAACACGGTGTTTACTTTTCTCAGAACAACTACTACAAAAAAAATATTAAAGATCTCCCGTTAAATGCCTCAGTGTTTTCCAAGGAAGTAAATTTCTGAGGGAACCACTTATAGTATCTATTCATCCTGCCGTAGACAGTTTCAGGATCTATTTCTAAAGGTACTCATCCTGTTGCTTGCTACAGTATCAAGGGGTTTGCTTTAAATGAATTAAGGAGACTACCACCAAGAGGACTCTGCTTTTAAGGAATGTCTAACACTGGCCTAATCTGAGCAGACTCTAAAGGCTGAGAGAAATGCCTTTGCAATAAAATGTACTATTCCTTTCCCAAGGTGTTTCTTTTGATTTGCTGTAAAAAATATCTGGTATCTGAAAGCAGAAAAGAAAGTCTCTTGTTGTTTCAAATCCTTTTTGTATAAATTATCTTGAAACTTCCAGAGTTGTTTATTCTACTTCCCTCCCAAATCTTTGAAAGGTCTATGCCTGTGAAAATCAGAATAAAAATTGCTTTAAAGGTTTATAGATTATCTTTGAAGGTAGCATCACCACATTTTTTAGAAACAGGCTTATTTAATTTCAGCTGACCTTGTGGTGTGTGGATCGACTTAAATCAAGGATTGGCAAACATTATAAATGAATCCCGCTCAAGGCACGGGGCCTGTACTAGTGACATCTGCCTCACCTTGTGCTGCCAAAGAGCAGTCAGATCTCAAAACATCTTACTCAGAGAACTGATCTCTTCATAGTTGTCAGATTTGAGAGCAAGAAAAAAAAAAAAAATGGGGAAGATTTTTTAAAAGAAAAGTTGGTATTTTTTCCTGGGGGCCAGGGTGCCTTTCTCCCTGTAAGAGAGTCTGAACTATTTTATTTCCTCCTCAGGAGGACAGCAACACCCAAAATCAAAAACTAAAAATGTTCAATTTGAAGGGCCATACATCCTGCAACCAGGATATACTTCTCACTGAATTTTAATCAACAGGGGATACACATTATTTGAGGCTATTTCTATATTCTAATAGTAGGTCTAGAAATATCAACTATTATCAGTTGTGAATCTTGTGTTCCCTTACTGGATGCAAATAAACTCTATTTTTATGAACAGACCTAGAGTTCCATCAGTAAAAATTCCAATAAAAATTGTGCTCCAGGAATTGTTCCTAATCATTTTACTCTTAACAATTATATTAACAAAATAAATCAGCTTGTCAAATCAGCCTCCCATAGATGAGAGAACTTGTACATTATCAAGATTTACTAATAATTTAAAAAATATATAAGCACTCAAGAGGCCTGAGCGATGTAAGAAGTCTGGGACATCCTGTGTGGTTCCTCATCCTTACTTGTGGCTTAGAAATGCATCCCCTGGCCCAGAACAATAGAAAAGTCTCTGGGAGGCACCTCGGTTTCCCTGAAACAGCAGAGAGCATGTAAGTCATGAAATGTCATTTTATACCCCAGAGAACTGTATGAGTTGAGAGCCATGTTCCTAAATCCATAGACTGCTAGTTTGTTTTACCACAAGCAATCCTAAACCTGGGACATTCTGCTCAAAGCATTGCATAGATAAGGATATCTCTCTTGCAAATTTTGTTAGTGAATTTGCCCAGAAGCTCAGCTATCATTTTCACAATAAATATAGACCTAGCCACCTGCCTTATTTTCTTTTCCCCTGGAAACACATCCTCACCCAAAACTCTACCCAGAAATTGGAGAATAAATGAATCATAGGGCATCTTTTAATTTCTTTCTCTAGCAATTGACCTTGGGAAAACTCAATCAAGACAGTAAGGATTCACTGGCCCAGAAGCTAAGTGTACCTTCTATGCCACAGGCTCAATGGCCACAAAAAGAAAATGCTCCTTCCATTTGTGGAATCCCTTCTCACTCTTGAACTTTTGAATAAAGAAGACAATTGACTGTTCATATTCTGGTTTATGATCTCCTACTGAATATATCCTACTAACCTATTAGGGAGAGCCAATTCATATTAATTATGAGCAGCTATATAAGAATTCCTAGAATGCAATCTCCTTGGCTATAGTTAACTCATTTTGTAAGATGAGGCAGGTGGCATAAGTCAGGATGGAAGGCTTCCTAACTTATTTGTTAAACATATGAGCATTTACTAATAGCTCACTTCCCATTTAAGTTTAAAATATGTTCTAATTCTAGAAAATGGCAGCTTTAGGTTGAGATCAAACCAGTCACCATGCTTGAAAATAGTCAGTTTAAAATCCAAGACTTTGCCCCAGATGCTTTAAAACAATCATTGTATTAGTATATAATTAATGCCAAAATGAAACTGCATTTAGAGAGTGTATAATGAACTTCATCAAGACAAGTCATATTGCCATATTTCTATGACGCGCCTTTCCTTAAAAATCTCACAAGCATTCAAAAACCAAGAAAAATTACCAAAATGCAATTCCATTGAATCTCAAACCTTTGAACAAACACAAAAAGGAATTTAAAATGACACCTAACTTCTGAATTTGTTGGCTTTTAAAAAGTTATAACTTTGAGCATTTTTTCCTATATCTCTTGACTATCTGTATGCCATTAATCATCAGAGAGATGCAAATTAAAATTAAAATGAGACATCACCTCACCTTTCAGAATGGCTACCATCAACAAATCAACAAATGACAAGTGCTGCCGAGGCTATAGAGCACACATGTCAAACACAAGGCCCGCGGGCCAAATCCAGCCCGCCAGGCCTTGCAATGTGGCCCGCACCGCGATGTCATCACTGCACTCCGCTGCGTTCCATCACAATGACAGTTTATGACTGTTCAGTAAACCAATTGGGCCCGCGATTTAGGCTGGATTTTAGATTTTGGCCCCTTCTCTGATTGAGTTTGACACCCCTACTATAGAGAAAAGGGAATCCTAGTACACTGCTAGTGGGAATGCAGACTGGTGCAACCACTATGGAAAACAATATGAGTTTCCTCAAACAAGTAAATATGGAACTGCCATTTGACCTAGTGACCCCACTTCTAGAAATATATCCTAAGAAACCTGAAACACCAATCAGAAAAAATGTGTGCACCTCTTTGTAACACAAATTACAATAGGTAAGATCTGAAAACAGCACAAGTACCCATCAGTGGATGAGTGGGTAAAAAAGCTGTGGTACATTTACATGTGCAATACTCTGCAATAGTAAAAAGGAAGGATATCTTACACTTTGAGATAGCATGGAGGGCCCTGAAAAGTATTATGTTAAGCAAAATAAGCCAATCAGAGAAAGACAAGTATCACATGATCTCACTCATATCTGGAATCTAAATCTATATAAAGCCTAAGCAACCATTATGACCAAACAACCTGAAAGACCGGAATGACTGGTTGACCAGTTGCTATGATGAGCACTGACCACCAGCAGGCAGATGCTCAATTCAGGAGCTGCCCCCTGGTGGTCAGTGCACTCCAACAGTCAGCTTCCATGGTCCCTAACCCCAGCCACCTAACCTCGCGTGCATGGTCCCTCCCCTGGCCATTCCCTCCCCTTGGCTAAGGCTCCTGGGACTAGAGAATCTGGGTCTGGGAATCCTATAGGAGGAGAGGGACCCTGATGCTGATGGAGACAGAGTAGCATCTCAGAGGGGGCAAAAGGGTGAAGGCAGCAGCCTAACTGCAAAGATGTAAAGTAAGTACCACTGCAATCTTTCCTCTACCACCACACCACGCCATGCTGCTTGCCCTTCTGCCCCTGTCACCCACTTCTAGCTCTGCCCATGCCTTTCCGGGCTCCCAACCACTGACTGGCTAGCGTTCCTAAGGCAATGTGCCACCACTGGCCAAAGTCAGCTACCTCTCATGCTTGGGGGCAGAGTCCTGAGAAAATGTGTGGCTGAGATAGGAGAGATGACCTGTCTGTCTGTCAGCAACTCTGCAGGGAGAGTGAGGAGGTCCGAGTGCAGGCAGTGAACTAGAGCTGTATTTCCATCTCAGAACATAGCTGGTGTTCAGGCTGTTTTGGGGTGCTCTGCCTGTGGTCTTTGTTTGCCACTACCTTAGCACATCTACACAACTAGGTCAGGGCCTGCTGGCCAACCTTCCGCGGTCCATTCCTCTTGTATGAATTCATGCACCAGGCCTCTAGTAGCAACATAAAACGATGAACAAAATAAATCCAGAGACATAGAAGCATGGAACAGACTGTTGAATCTCAGAGAGAAGGCGGGAGTGGGTGGGTGGGTGGTAAGATATTAACCAAAGAACTTGTACGCATATATGCATAACCCATGGACACCAACAATAGTGTGGTGAGAGCTGGGGCATGAGAGAGGTGTGGGCTACACTGGGCTCCTGGCGGAAAAGAAGAAACACCGATAATACTTCCAAAACTAAAGATAATTTTTAAAAAAATGTTATATCTTTACTTCAATAAAGATTATATATTGAGCCGAGACCGGTTTGGCTCAATGGATAGAGCGTTGGCTTGGGGACTGAAGGGTCTCAGGTTCGATTCCGGTCAAGGGCATGTACCTTGGTTGCGGGCATATCCCCAGTAGGGGGTGTGCAAGAGGCAGCTGATTGATGACTCTCTCTCATCGATGTTTCTAACTCTCTATTTCTCTCCCTTCCTCTCTGTACAAAATCAATAAAATATATATATATATTTTTAAAAATTATATATTGAATTCTTCTCTTCTTACGCTTTAATTTCTTAAGGGTTGTTATTGGCTTTCCTCTCCTCTCCCTTTTACTCACATCAGCACCTTCTCCCATAGCCTATTAGGTTTAGGAAAGATAATATATTATCTTTTTTTCAGATGTACAAGTCGTTTTGTTTATGGGGTTACTGCAAATGTGAGGCAAAGCTGGTATTAGTAAATTTTTACTATCTATTGTAGTCGAATGTATTAGTATTCAAAAAATTATTTGGCTTTAAAAATTGCTTACTAAGGAAAAAACAGATTTTTTTAACAAATAATTTGATCTAAAATACATTTTAAAAAACAGACACTTACCCTGAACATAAGCAGAGCAACTATTCAAATCTAATTCTAATTACTTGACTGTACATTTTTCCTAAGCACATTAAGACTGATAAGCTTTAGGCTATTTTCCCCCTCTTTTAACTCAGGAAAGACCTACCATTAAGCTTTCTTATATTTGCATTATTTTGTAAGTAAAATTATGTGCCTAGATATTTTATGTAGATATTTTATGATATAGTGTGGCCAGGAAAAATATAGCAGAAACTATATATTTTCAAGAAAACACTAATTTTTCTGTCAATTTATATCATTATATGAAACAAAAAGAAATTAAAGAATGGTATGTGAATTTTAATGATATTTCCAACAACATTCTTGTTTTTTAATTTAAATTCTTAATTGTTGAAGTATTACATATTCTCCTACCCCTTCCCCCTTGACCTCT